AAAACTTCAAAAATGGTCCTTGTGGTTTCCGAAAATCTGAAGTTTAGTCCTTAATTTACGAAAACCTCACGGAGCGTTCATGTGGTTTCAAAACTTTTAACATATGGTCATTTTCGCTAACTCCGTTAGTTTTTGGCCGTTAAGTAAAGTGCATTTCTGTCTTTTCACTACTACATGGACCATTTATGAAGTTTTGTCTAATTAAAAAAAACATTTATTATTTAATATTAAAGGTCCCTCCCCCTCTCTCTTATTTTCCTCTCTCTCTCTCTCTCTCTCTCTCTCTCTCTCTCTCTCTCTCTCTCTCTCTCTCCCCATAAGACATAATACACCATCATCTTCTTCAAAACCCACGTCTTCTTCAAAACCCAGCTCACCCCTCTACATTTTTCTGCCAACACCCACCTCTCCACCTACTCTAACTACCGTTGTTCTCGTCCCTGCTACATCATCACCGTAGAACATCCAAAATCACCACTGGCAATAGTAACCCATTCTTGCTATCGCCAAACCCCTCGGTATAACCGTGAAACACGAGCTTCTCCACTCTACCATCTTTCCACGTCGTCGTCATCCCGTTACAACCCAACACCATCACCTACAACACCACAGGAAGAACATCATCACTACAACTACCTCGACCCGCCATCTTCTCCCTACAACCATTGTCATCATCTTCATAACAACAAGAAATCAACCCCCACTCACAGTTTCTTTCACACACAGACCTGCAAATCTGGGTTTCATTTTTAGTGGACCTTGGTCGTGGATTTTGGAGATTGTTCTCTAGAGGTAACAACAAAGATGATTTCAGATCAACAAAGTAGGGTACCGGTGTTGAGGGGTCTGCTTGATAAACTATGCAACTGGGTTTCTGGAATTGCAGGTTTCCGGTAGATTGAACATAAGTGATTGCAGGTTTGGACGAGTTGCATTAGCAAGTATCCCTCCACTGTATTCGAAATCTCTGTACCAAAATGTTTTTGTTGGTGGTGTGTGGACGTCGTTGCGAACTTCACAGCTTATTCTTAGAGCATATGGTGTTGCATTCATGGAAAGTCAAATAGTAGAGATTAGAATCAAAGCTAATGTAATGTAATACAAAAGAAATTTATGTTTCTTTTGCTGTCTAACATAAAGCATTATCAAGGTTTTCAATGAAATGGAGAAGCACACCAATTGGATACAAGTTGAATCGAACTTAGCAAGAAGTTAGGAAGATGATCGTTAGGATTGTTGACAAACTATAGCTCTACCTGTTCTTTCTCTACCTTAAAGGAAATATGCATTCGATCATTTGAGTTTGACCTCACATTCTTTTGTTTTGGATTCTAATAAAAAGTTGAGCTCATCGACAACATTACTCATATGCCCTCCTATATACTTGTTTCTTTTGTTTACTAAATTGAATATTTGAAGACAAGGATGGATCCAAAACATGTGCATAAAACAGATAAAAAAAGGGAAAACGAGTCTTGCACAACATATGTTCGATGAAATGCTCGAAAGAAAAAACCCATCAACGCCCTATTGGGCTGCTCCGGTAGCGTGGACGGTTGTTTAACATCCCCTGACATATGATCGGAAACTACCACAACTGTCAGTGATATCAATTCCTGCAACCGGTTCAATAACTCTCCGGTAAAGATTCACTGATGGGATTTTATTTTAGGTGTAATAGAGTCTCGATGTCTTTATATATATATATATATATATATATATATATATATATATATATATATATATAGAGAGAGAGTGTGGGACCTTTAATATTAAATATATATTTTTAAATAAGGCAAAACTTTATATATGGTCCCTGTGGTAGTGAAAAGACAGAAATGCCCTTTACTTAACTGCCAAATGTTTTGAAACCACAGGGACGATCCATGAGGTTTTTGTAATCTAAGGACTAAACTTAAGATTTTCAAAAACCACAAGGACCATCTTTTGAAGTTTTGTATATATATATATATATATATATATATATATATATATATATATAGGGTTAGGTTAATATGTTTCTTACATTTATTGTGTCGTAGAATGCACCAATAAGAATTTAGTAAAATTAAATAATTATTTAATTAAATAAAGATAGATAATAAGTAATTTCCATAATTGTATGTATATTAAATGATATCTATAATTATAATTCTCTTTTTATTGAAACTAATTAAATTCGTCATTAATGTTAGTAATAACATTCTTTTAGAATAAATTCATATCTACGTTTTTATGTAAGAGTTCGTTTTTTGTTTCAGGAATTACTCACTTAAAATACAATAAAGTTGTTTGCAATATGAAGAACGAGAGTGTATTCTACTAGATTACACTCTCATTCTGTTAGAATACATTTTCATTCTTCTAGATACGAATTAATTCTGAAAGAATATTATCGTTGACATTAATAACGAATTTAATTATTTTCCATAAAAATGAATTATAAGTATGAATATCATTTAATATACATATAGCTTTTACTAAATTTTTATTAGTGAATTCTAGCACAGAATAAATATGGGAAACATTTGAACCTATCATATTTTCTCTCTCTATATATATATATATATATATTCAGCCTGGAAAATTGTCATTTTTCGATCAAACTAACGTGCAACCTGTGATAATCCTGAGTTATGTTCCCTGGGTAAAAGAGTTTGACTGTATAATGCCAAATTCTCTGTCACGAAACTTGAAATAAAAAAAAATGAAAATAAAAACAAAAAAGTAAATAATTCCTAATTTTTTAAATGACTTTCACATATTCATTTCATTTAGGGAAAGTGATCGTTAGAATAAAAAAACAAAAAATGGAAATTGAAGCTGTCAGTCAATGAAAGTTGGTAAGGGCAATTTGTATATCGAGGGCTACTGATTCATATATCGAAATATAATGTTATTAAAGATGTAATTTGGTCTTGTGTAAGAAAATTCAGTATGACTTCACCAAACGCCAACAAAACATTTTTGTAATTATATGGCTACACATAAATTTTGATTTCAAAATTATGTTATATGGACAAATGTACACTGACAATTTAAATTAAATAAATAGACGGAATGGGTTTCATATAATATGATTCGTATATAAATAGTAGGATCCAAACGGTGAATATAATAATGTCGGTCATGAGGGATTTTGTTAAAAAAACATTCATATATATCAATATACATTCATACACAATATATATTGATACAGACATATATGTCCAGACCATCCTTCTTTAAGTCAACTTCATTCTCCATTTTAATGTATATATGTATAACCAAATACAGTAACTAATTAAGACTTATTACTTTGAAAAAGTTTCAATATTAGCTTTAATTATGATTTTAAAATAGTGTATAGATTTCAGTGAATATCAACCCCGATTAACATACATAATAGAAAAAACAGCAAACGGAAGTTAATTGCCAGTCTCGTCAAACATCTCTTTCTCCTCTCATTCTTCTCACTCCTCAACAATGGCAAGTCTCTGGCAAAGTGAGCTGGAGGTGAAGAATTAAGATTGATCATGAGTACACTTTAGGGAAAGGTGGTTCTCAGCAATGACAGGAGAGAGAGAGAGAGAGAGAGTGAGAGAGAGAGAGAGAGAGAGAGAGAGAGAGAGAGAGAGAGAGAGAGATTATAATTATAAACCCCATAATTATTATAAAAACAGTAGGGGTATACATAGGTAAAATTAAAGAGCTTCTTCTTCAATTCTTCCCAACAAGCAATTAACAGCATCAGCAATCTCATCGACTGTATTGAGCTGGCATCCATCCTCAAGCTGTCCAAAAAATTATATTCAATTAAAAGTTATTCCAACAATTCTTGTAATAAACATGAAAAATAATCAAATATTATTGTAAAAAACGTCAAAACTAACCTTGACACTAATACTGTAGAGTGCCATCTGATCAACGGTAGTAACATTGAGGTGGAGGACAGTAAGCCACATGCACTGAAGCCCAGCGACCATCTTCAAGAGCTGTCTATTGCGTTTCTTAGATAGTATTTTGAGGTTAGCATGGCTCTCTACCATTGTTACTTCAATCTCCGCCATTGCTGGTGGCCGGATATTAACGAGGGTGGCAGAGCCACCACTTTCGTTAACTGATGATCTAGTCGAGTATTGTGGGAATGTGAAGAAGTCGCCAAATGGTGGTGGTGGAGTAGAGTAGCCACTTTTATCATTAGGGTGTGGTTGATGCATGGTTCTCTTTTGTACCTCTAGGGTTTGTAGTTGTTGTTCTAGTTCCTTCACAAAGTTTATTGCTCCTCCAATTATTGACGCTTGATCACCCTAAAATTTTGTTGATTAACTTTTATAATGTATTTCAATTCAACTTTTATGGTTAATTACGAAATTTAATATAATATGCTTTGCAATTAGAGTCCACATATAATTAACGTCCGATAATCGAACAGATGTGCGGTCAGCTAAGAAGAAAAAAATTGTTAAATATATGATATATTTTTAGATAAAATCTAAAACATTTGGAAGCTTTTAAAACTTATAAAATCATATAAAATTAATTGTCTAAAACATGTCATTGATATTAAAAAGTGGTATTTTAATCAATTTGAAAAATTAAAAAGGAACTTTTTGTTACATGCTAATTGAAGTGACTTTTGAATTGAATTTTTTGTTTTAGTTAAAAGCCAAAATGTTATGCTGAACAAAAAAAATTTGAATTTTTTTTTAAAAGCTAAAATAAAAGCTCACAAAAGGTATATGAACGAGTCTTTAAGAGTTTTCATCATCTACAATTCAACATTCATTCAGTAAATATTTTATTTTGCTTCTAAATTATATTCGAACTTCAAACCATTAATAATTTTGGAATAGCTATGAAGATATTTGTAATGGTTTTATATTATTTTTATTGTTTTTTTTTTCTTTATTACTATTTTAACAATAAACAAAGTAATTTTTAATCTTTTACTATATTTTTTTAACAAAGACCGAACATAAGTTTTGCTTTTGGTTTTATTTGTATCCCATTAGATGTTTTTATATCATGAAATATATTTAAAATTGTATATGATGTACGCTAAATATAACAAATTAGACGTACGTATATGCTTAATTTATTATATACTAGTCTTTAATTTTTAATAAAACTAATAGATATGTGCTGTGTGGCACAAAGATTGAGAAAAAGACTGAATGATAGTAGATGCAAAATTATGTAAAGGATATTGTGATTTACGTATCATTTTATGATTCGATTCATTTTTTTTCTATTATACTGTCTACATCTAATTCTTTTTTTATTCGAATATATTTTTAAATATCAAGCTTGTTTTTTTCCAATCATATATCGTCGACATCCAAGCAACTATTTCCTCTTACGAAAACAGATCTGTGATCTTTATAGATTCATTGTATACGTATTGTTTTGAATTTATGTTATGAATATATATTGGAAATGTATATAGTACGAGAAAAAAACAATTGTTTTACCCTGATGTGACTCTGTCTGCTGTGTATTTTAAAGTAACACATTATATTCTCTAAATTAATTTCGAAAGTTTGTGATGTAACATTCCTTTTCCTTTAAAATAAAAGAAAATCAAATGGAGAATATCTATCATTTCCTTTTGGTATTATCGGTGGAAAAAATTAAAAAGGTAATGGAATGTATAGAAAAGAAATTAAGAGCTTTACCCTTTGAACATAAGAAGATGGCATCAGAGATCGGATTACAGCCAGATACTCGTTCATCTGCTTTCTGCGGTTGCGCTCAACCGTGATATGAGTCATTCTTTGACTCTCCATTTCCTCTTTGTTCTTCCCACTCTTCGTGCGCCTCCGCTTTCTCCTACCCACAGCGGCCACGGTAGTGGTGGCAACGGCTGCCACGTGTGATTCCATCATTATGTTGCAGTGAGAGGATAGTTCACCGGAAATCAACAGATCACCTCCGGCACTGCAGCCTGTGCAATCTTCCGTTGAAGAAGTAGTACCCCAGTGTTCCTTAGCATTAAAACTGTTGTGATTGTGAATCACTGAAGAAGATGAACAGTAATCCCAATTATTTGCATGGACATTGGCTGCTTCTTCATGACATCGATAATGGTTGTTTCTCTCCAGGAATCCACAAAAACTTCTATCTTCTTGTAACAAATAATCGTATTCCAAAATGCCAATCGGATCTTGTGGGCAATTTATTGTGTCTAGCGCCATTAGTTCACATGCATATGAACCCTAATCTTGACCTTGATCTTTCGTTTCTCTTTATAGCTGAGACGTTGACCACCTCAGAATGAAGTGGAAAATGACCAAAGGGTATAATATATATAGACGGAAAAAGATTGTTTCTTTTTTGACGTATGTTGGTGGGGTTTTCTGGGATAGGCCCTAAAAGTCGATTGAAAAACCAATTGTTAGGAGAAAGAACTGAAGAGAAGCACAAAGGGTTAAAGTATATGAACAAGAACCAAGAATACTCAAAAGATCCAAACGAATATCATCTCTCTCTCTCTCTCTCTCTCTCTCTCTCTCTCTCTACTTTTTGATGGTGAATAATGGAGAGGACGAGTGTGGATGTGGGTGTGAGTCGAATGTCTCTCTGTCTCTATAAAGAAGAAAAGAATCTACAGTATATGACACGTGACAACATAAGTCGGACTACTACAATTTTTCTGCTACATAAAACGGGGGGTTAGGGTGGGATGGGGTGGCGGTGGGGGCGGAAGAGGTGTGTAGAGAGAAAGAAAGAGACAGGGGCTATATGGATGCTGGTTTGATCTTCTTTGTAAGTACTAGGCCACTAGCAGTGTTTGATTATATAAAAGTCTTACTATCAATGTTATGTTAAAAGCTTTCTCCATGGTATTTAAATCTGGGTTTATAAACTTTGGTTAAGGACTTTTTTTAATATCACTCCACACACACTAAATATTACATTCATTTTTGTGTCTAACACTACAAGAAAACAAGGCTTTACCAACGATAGTTTTAGTGGCGGCAACAACTTTTAGCACTCACACGCAAGCAATTGTCGCCGCTAAAAACTATTGTCGTCGCTAAAGGTGTCGCCAGTAATACCTAAAGAACCAAATCTGCGTCAAACCTTTTAGACCCTATCCATCCGATCGAGTATCAAATCCAACGGCTTGGACTCCGTTTCGACTAAACCCAATAATGACGACGCAATACCGACGATTTTTGTCGCCGCTAATGTGAGAACAAGAATCAATGTGCAAAGACAATGTTTGAAAACTGAAATCTTGAGTTAATCTTTAAGATCAACGTCTGCTCTTAATATGAAGTTGCAGTCGAATCTGGTAAACTAGTTAAGACTTGAAGATAAATAATCAACAAAGTATTCAAGTAATAAATGAAGTAAACTTGATGATAATCAATGCAAAGATAATTTAAGAACAAGAAGAATGTTATGAAAGAACTTTGACCGGAAGGAAAGTTGAAAGTGATGTGAAGATAATAATTGTTATTCTTGGATTAATACTTCGATATCAACTCTTGAAACATTCGCTCCTTAAATAGTGAAGGAGGAACATAGTACCAACCATTAAAACATTATGAGGACTAGATAATGATCAGTGTTTGACAAACTGACATCTAAAAGATACACACGTTTAAGTCCTATGAACTGTTACATCAAAGTAAAGACAAAATGCATTAAATACATGTACAGACTTCTGACTTCTGAACATCTTGATCTCAGAATTGATCTGGCTTCGAAACTTCATCATATCTCGGACACAATCTGACTTCGGAACTTGATTGCTTGGGATTGCTAGAGATTCACTTTTCATGTATCAACAGCTAAAGATCGAAAAAAGGACGCGACATAAATTCCCTCCATAGTTGTCGCCACAATTGATAAGAGTCGATGCTAAAGGTTTTGAAGTCGCCAGTATTAACTGTCGTCAATATTCCTTGAGGCAGATAAGCAAAAATCGACGCCTCTCTTTCCGCTTTCAGCTTCTGATCTTCCATTTTGCTTTCATTTCTTCTTCCCCATTTCTTCGGCGACTCACACCATTGACCGATCCGTGCCAACGAGGAGCACCATGCCACTAGCATATAGAAGTAATGTTATCCTGAACACATAAATGATTGAGAGACCAAGGTAATCTCAGATCAAATATAATATGTTCTTATGAAGTTCCAGTCGAATCGGGTAAACCGGTTATGACTTGAAGATAAATAATCAACAAAGTATTCAAGTAATAAATGATATAAACTTGAGTATAATCAATGCAAAGATAATTTAAGAACAAGAAGAATGTTATGAAAGAACTTTGACTGGAAGGAAAGTTGAAAGTGATGTGAAGAGAATAATTGCTATTCTTGGATTAATACTTCAATATCAACTCTTGAAACATTCACTCCTTAAATGGTGAGGGAGGAAAATAGTACAAACCATTAAAACATTCTAAGGACTGAATAATGATTAGTGTTTGACAAACTGACATCTAAAAGATATACACATTTTAGTCCTATGAACTGTTACATAAAGAAAAGACAAAATACATTAAATGCATGTACAGACTTCTGACTTCTAAACATCTTGATCTCGGAATTGATTTGGCTTCAAAACTTCATCATATCTCGGACACAAGCTGACTTCGGAATTTGATTGCTTGGGATTGTTAGAGGTTCACTTTTCATGTATTAACAATCTCCCCCTAAGTGAACTTAGCAATCTCGTCTGCTTAGTTGACTTCTTATGTTATGAAATGGTAAGCAATGTAGAGCCAACTACGGACTTCCACATACCAGGCGAGATGATTGATAAACTTATTCTGCACATGCTCCGGAGCATCACTTTTGGCAGCATTGGCGATGAACTTCTGCAAAATGGTTGTAGGAACGAGATTCTTGTCCATGACTTGGAAGAACTCTTTCTTGTTGGTCTTCTTTCTCATATAGATGCATCCGAGTTCTAGTTCTTCAATATGTCCTTCTGCTAGAATCTGGGCTTCAGGAAGTTCACATGAAATTTTGGCCAACACTTTTTTAGTTCCAAACAAGTGTGCAAGCTCAATGTCGGATCTACATAATTCGGCTACATAATCGTTCAAAAAGTTGATTGTAGTACTGTATGTTGCGATGCTCATTTGATCATTTTGACAACTTCGGAAATGAGCAGCAATACTGAGAATATAATTTTGGTTGCTGGTTGGGAAATCTACATACGTGATGGTGATGGTGGTTTCTTTGTTCCGATTGATGTAATATTTGTACAACATACAATTCAGGTCGAACTTGCTTTGAACCTTTCTTCCAAACCCATCAATTTTTGTTATTCTCTTTCGAGACCACACTTTTTTTTTGAGGACGTGCGTTGACCGAGTAGAATGGCTTGAATCTATCTCTCTCTTCTCCCCCTATTGCTTCGGAAGGCCCTGGATCCGAGGCAAGTCGAGCTGTAGCTTGGACTTCGGACAAACTTTCGAATACTCTCTGGAAGCTCATGTTGATTTTCTTGGAGATAGCATCGTAGGCTTCAGCAGTGGGAGCTTGGGTTATCAGATGATCAAACAAGGTACCCAAGATGGAAAACATTTCGTCGAACTTGTTAGGAACATCAACGATGTTCCAGTAAGCTCGGATTAACTTGATGAGGACCTGTTGCATGATGAGATTAAGTTCATCCTTCTTCTGGATTTCTTTCTCTAACCTCTGGATCTGGTTCTCATGACGGACATGTGTTTGCTGAATCTGCTCATTTTTTGCTTTTATCATGTCGTCATGGATTTTCAACATAATGGAAATGGTAGAGATGTGATGATCCAAGTTGTCATTGTATTTTTGTTCGACTTCTTCCAAGGTGTGCTTGAATTGTAATGAGATGAGCTGATGAAGTTGAGCTGCTCGTTCAGTTTCGGAGGGGCTAAGTTGTTAAATCTTGGAAAGGAATTGGAAGATTACATCGAGCTTGGATTCGAGGCTGGAAACCTTTTCATCAAGCTTGGAGTCTAGCCGCGCCACTGATTTATCGAGTGATTCAACCATGGAGACAGCTGTAGCTACGTTATCTTGGAGTTCCAGAAGGGCAAATGGATCAGTGATATTTTCATATGATGATCCAGTGTCCGAGGAGGAACTCTCAGACTTATCATCATCACAATCTTTGTTGACTTGAGGTTCCGAAGGAGTGGGATTATTTTCTATTTGATTTCCTTGGGGAGGATTTGTTTAAGTTTCACCTCCTAGAGTTGCTTGGACTTGGTCATCGATTTGTATTTCTTCATCAACATGTTCCGAGGAAGATGACGTCAGTCCAAAATCGTATACATGCCTTGATGAAGAAGGCTTTTGCAGTGATTTGAATGAGGAGAAGAGTGGAGGAGCGCCAATGGAACCTCTATCAACATAAAACATAAACTCCGTTGAGTGATCTTCATCTGAGGGTGGTTGAAAGGCATCATGATGAGGAGACTTCGGAGGATCATCCGAGATGATTGTGGTTTGATATTGTTGGCTCAAAAATATGGTTTATACTTTGCTTTTCTAGGAAAATGTATTTTTATATCTAAGACCGTAAACAACTTGGTGTTTACGGCTGTATATGAGTTTACAGTTGTGTTTACGGCCGTGAACAGGTTTACGACCGTAAACCCATTCACGGCCCATGTCTACTATATATAGGGTGAGGAGTGAATATTGTAAAGTAAGTGAGGCAGAGAAGAAGAGCATGTTCTAAAAATGAGAAACAAGAGAGGAGCTTTAGTGTGTGTTAGTGTGTGTGAATCTTGTTTCCGGATCTTAATTCATATCAATTCATACAAGATTCATCATCTTCTTCTCCTAATTCTTCTTCATTTGATCTGGCATCATCCGTTTGATTGGGATTCCGCACCATCAAACAGATCTGATTGATACACATGCAGATTTAGGGACTTACAATTGGTATCAGAGCTTGGATTGTATCAATCATTTTTGTCAGATCTGGAGCTTATTTGATATTATTTTTGAAGGATTCATGCGTTTTTGGATAGATCTTGGCAAAATAAGGGGGGTTTGTTCTTCGTGTTTTTGATAAAAACGAGTTTTTGATCGAGTTTTGGAGCAAAAGGGTGAAAACCGCTATTTTTGGTCGTAACCAGCGAGGGGGTGGCGACGTTTACGGCCAGCAGCTAGGGTTTCTCGGAGTTTACGGCCTCGGTGTACAGCCGGAGTTTACGGCCTCGGAGTTTACAGCCTCGCCTCAGATTCGTGGTCAGCATCGCATAAGGTCCGAAGTTCGCACCGCATACACTTAAAAAATAGGGAATCAATTTTGGGGGTGTCGGGGATCGAACCAGGGTCTCCTGCCAACTCAACCAAGCGCCTTACCAGCTCAACTACATTGCAAGATGATATCCTCCTTCCAATTTTAATTCAAAAGCACTCCCTTTCGCAACTATTTTCGCAAAATTGACACTTTTAGCCCAAAATTCAAATTTCTTTTATTTTTAAATTCCATTTTCAACACAAAAATTTTAATTTTTAATTTTTGACTTTTAATTTTGACTTTTTACTTA